TGTCTGTCTGTCTGTCTGTCTGTCTGTCTGTCTGTCTGTCTGTCTGTCTCCAGAGGAGGAGAGGACTGGACCAGCTTGTCTGTCTGTCTGTCTGTCTGTCTGTCTGTCTGTCTGTCTGTCTGTCTGTCTCCAGAGGTGGAGAGGACTGGACCAGCGTGTCTGTCTGTCTGTCTGTCTCCAGAGGAGGAGAGGACTGGACCAGCGTGTCTGTCTGTCTGTCTGTCTGTCTGTCTGTCTGTCTGTCTGTCTGTCTGTCTGTCTGTCTGTCTGTCTGTCTGTCTGTCTGTCTGTCTGTCTGTCTCCATAGGAATGGTATGGTGAGGAGAGGACTGGACCAGCGTGTGTGTCTGTCTGTCTGTCTGTCTGTCTGTCTGTCTGTCTGTCTGTCTGTCTCCATGGGAATGGTATGGTGAGGAGAGGACTGGACCAGCGTGTGTGTGTGTCTGTCTGTCTGTCTGTCTTCTCCAGAGGAATTGGTATGGTGAGGAGAGTACTGGAACAACCTGTCTGTCTGTCTCCAGAGGAATGGCATGCCATGGCCGAGGAGAGAAGAGATGTGTGTGTCTCATGTGTCGTCCTCTCAGAGTTAATGAGGTCTACTCTTTAGGGTTAGGGTTAGTGATAGGGGTTAGAAGTCAGTTAATGAGGTTTACTATTTGGCCCTCCTGATATGACCAGGCGTCCTGCTATTACACCAGCCTGCAGGCTACAGCACTGCCAGAACCTTCCACTACCAGCCTGTAGGCTACAGCACTGTCAGAACCTTCCACTACCAGCCTGCAGGCTACAACACTGCCAGAACCTTCCACTACCAGCCTGCAGGCTACAGCACTGCCAGAACCTTTCACTACCAGCCTGCAGGCTACAACACTGCCAGAACCTTCCACTACCAGCCTGCAGGCTACAACACTGCCAGAACCTTCCACTACCAGCCTGTAGGCTACAACACTGCCAGAACCTTCCACTACCAGCCTGCAGGCTACAGCACTGCCAGAACCTTCCACTACCAGCCTGCAGGCTACAACACTGTCAGAACCTTCCACTACCAGCCTGCAGGCTACAACACTGCCAGAACCTTCCACTACCAGCCTGCAGGCTACAACACTGCCAGAACCTTCCACTACCAGCCTGCAGGCTACAGCACTGCCAGAACCTTCCACTACCAGCCTGCAGGCTACAACACTGCCAGAACCTTCCACTACCAGCCTGCAGGCTACAACACTGCCAGAACCTTCCACTACCAGCCTGCAGGCTACAACACTGCCAGAACCTTCCACTACCAGCCTGTAGGCTACAACACTGCCAGAACCTTCCACTACCAGCCTGCAGGCTACAACACTGCCAGAACCTTCCACTACCAGCCTGCAGGCTACAGCACTGCCAGAACCTTCCACTACCAGCCTGTAGGCTACAACACTGCCAGAACCTTCCACTACCAGCCTGCAGGCTACAACACTGCCAGAACCTTCCACTACCAGCCTGCAGGCTACAACACTGCCAGAACCTTCCACTACCAGCCTGCAGGCTACAGCACTGCCAGAACCTTCCACTACCAGCCTGCAGGCTACAACACTGCCAGAACCTTCCACTACCAGCCTGTAGCTACAACACTGCCAGAACCTTCCACTACCAGCCTGTAGGCTACAACACTGCCAGAACCTTCCACTACCAGCCTGCAGGCTACAACACTGCCAGAACCTTCCACTACCAGCCTGCAGGCTACAACACTGCCAGAACCTTCCACTACCAGCCTGCAGCCTACAGCACTGCCAGAACCTTCCACTACCAGCCTGCAGGCTACAACACTGCCAGAACCTTCCACTACCAGCCTGCAGGCTACAACACTGTCAGAACCTTCCACTACCAGTCTGCAGGCTACAGCACTGCCAGAACCTTCCACTACCAGCCTGCAGGCTACAGCACTGCCAGAACCTTCCACTACCAGCCTGCAGGCTACAACACTGCCAGAACCTTCCACTACCAGCCTGCAGGCTACAGCACTGCCAGAACCTTCCACTACCAGCCTGCAGGCTACAGCACTGCCAGAACCTTCCACTACCAGCCTGCAGGCTACAGCACTGCCAGAACCTTCCACTACCAGCCTGCAGGCTACAGCACTGCCAGAAACCTTCCACTACCAGCCTGCAGGCTACAGCACTGCCAGAACCTTCCACTACCAGCCTGCAGGCTACAGCACTGCCAGAACCTTCCACTACCAGCCTGCAGGCTACAGCACTGCCAGAACCTTCCACTACCAGCCTGCAGGCTACAACACTGCCAGAACCTTCCACTACCAGTCTGTAGGCTACAGCACTGCCAGAATCTTCCACTACCAGCCTGCAGCCTACAGCACTGCCAGAACCTTCCACTACCAGCCTGCAGGCTACAGCACTGCCAGAACCTTCCACTACCAGCCTGCAGGCTACAGCACTGCCAGAACCTTGCACTACCAGCCTGCAGGCTACAGCACTGCCAGAACCTTGCACTACCAGCCTGCAGGCTACAACACTGCCAGAACCTTCCACTACCAGCCTGCAGGCTACAGCACTGCCAGACCTAGTGTAGAAGAGCACAGTGATGCGTCATAAAACTCCAGACATTCCCTGATAGACTGTGGAGTGTGGGCAGTAAACACAACTGACTGACTGATTCTCCTTTCAGCAGGAAATCAACCTACTGGCTCATTACATTACCTTACATTCTGGATGTCTGTAGAAGAAGGATATTATGTTTTCCTTGCTATTTAGACAAACTGCATACAGTATTACTTAAAAGTCAACCAATAAACTGTTAAATACAAGGTTGATTAAACCAATAAATGGTTAACTAGAAGATTATTTAAACCAATAAACTGTTAACTAGAAGGTTATTTAAACCAATAAACTGTTAACTAGAAGGTTGCTTAAACCAATAAACTGTTAACTAGAAGGTTAATTAACCCAATAAATTTTTAACTAGAAGGTTGATTGCCAATTAGACTTCAATCTAATTGGCACATAGTTTCTCTCCTAAACACTTGTATTATTACTGTACATGGGGGTAGACTGCAATCTATCTAATTAGACATGTATTATCGTATTTATTATGTACAGAAAACATTCTGCATGCCTTCTCACACCCTCCACTACTCCAGTGATGTTCTTTTGACAGCTGTGATGTCTCTGAATCATTAACCTGAGGGTAAATTAAATCAAACCCAGACTGTCACTAATATCAACCCCCAACTCCCACATGCCATAATTAGAAGCCATCAAAGGTCAGGTCTGATCTGGTGATATTTGTATCTGCTCCAGGGCTGGGCTTCATATTGGAAATCAAAACACACCGCCCGGTGGGGCATTACTGGGTAAGGTCATCAAAGTGTCACTGGTTCAGTGAGAGAGCATGACAGCGTGACAGTGTACAGCCCAGGGCTCCTTTCTAGTCTATACACACCTGACTGGCTGGCTGGCTGACTAACTGTCTGACTGTCTGGCTGGCTGACTGGCTGACTGGCTGGCTGGCTGGCTGACTAACTGACTGGCTGGCTGGCTGACTAACTGTCTGACTGTCTGGCTGGCTGGCTGGCTGACTGGCTGACTGGCTGGCTGGCTGGCTGACTGGCTGACTGGCTGACTGGCTGACTGGCTGGCTGGCTGGCTGGCTGGCTGGCTGGCTGGCTGGCTGACTGGCTGACTAACTGGCTGACTGGCTGGCTGGCTGGCTGGCTGATTGACTGGCTGACTAACTGTCTGACTGTCTGGCTGACTGGCTGACTGGCTGGCTGGCTGGCTGGCTGGCTGACTGGCTGACTGGCTGGCTGGCTGGCTGGCTGACTGGCTGGCTGGCTGACTAACTGGCTGACTGGCTGGCTGACTGGCTGGCTGGCTGGCTGACTAACTGGCTGGCTGGCTGTCTGACTGGCTGACTAACTGGCTGACTGGCTGGCTGGCTGGCTGGCTGGCTGGCTGACTAACTGGCTGACTGATGGCTGGCTGTCTGACTGTCTGACTGGCTGGCTGGCTGACTGGCTGACTAACTGGCTGACTGGCTGGCTGACTGGCTGGCTGGCTGGCTGGCTGACTAACTGGCTGACTGGCTGGCTGACTGGCTGGTTGGCTGGCTGTCTGACTGGCTGACTGGCTGACTAACTGGCTGACTGGCTGGTTGGCTGGCTGTCTGACTGGCTGACTGGCTGACTAACTGGCTGACTGGCTGACTGGCTGACTGACCGGCTGGTAGATAACACAACGGGCAGTGGATAGACCCCCACTGCAGGCTGCTTAATGAAAAACACATAATGATCCTCTACATATCTCCAACTGATTAACCCCATTATCAAGTATACCTATATTTAAAGCCATCTCCTTGAACAGGCCTACAACACTCCTTACCTTGTAGAAGGAATGGTTTTATAGTGTGTACAGCCAATCATATTTCCCACTAAAGATAATATAGATTATTAGACACTAACCAATTCAGAGACTAGTGGCAGGGTTAACAGTGGGCAGTGGGGGTTGTCTGGCAGGTAGGGCATCCTCAAGTAGGGGGCAGGCATATATATATATATATATATATATATATTATATATATATATATATATATAGAGAGAGAGAGAGAGAGAGAGAGAGAGAGAGAGAGAGAGAGAGAGAGAGAGAGAGAGAGAGAGAGAGAGAGAGAGAGAGAGAGAGAGAGAGAGAGAGAGACAGAGACAGAGACAGAGAGAGAGAGACAGAGAGAGATAGAGAGAGACAGAGACAGAGACAGAGACAGAGAGAGACAGAGACAGAGACAGACACAGACACAGACACAGACACAGACACAGACACAGAGACAGAGACAGGTAACGGTAACACAGCACTGGCCTGCCCCAGCCCTGTAAACTTCCTTTCCTCTCACCACCCATCGTGGGATCGGCATTCTGTCAGAACTGATTCAATAAGTTGTGTGTGTGTGTGTGTTGGGGTGGGGGATTGGGGTCAAGGCGTGTGTTACCGTTCACCTGATGCCACAGGTGTCTGCTGACATCGTATTAACATCATGTAAAGTGATGGGGTTGCCAAGACAGGACAGAGGATTCCCCTTCTCTTGGTGGAATACAGGTACTTGTTGAGGACTGGTCTCATGCTAAGAAAAGCTATGTGAAAAGATTGGTGTCTGAAAATAATGTCAGAACAGAGAAGGCACGGCAGGTCTTTTTCTCTCTTCAAGGTCCATCTTTATTTCAATATCAAACCAATATCTGGGTAACAATGAAGTACCTTACTGTTGTTTTCAATTCAAACGGTAAAACATAAACAAAATGATCTACTTAGCAAAGACTAATTTCTCAAGCAATAATTTTGCTAGGACTGTCTGGGAGTGGTTTGAGTGGGCAAGGGAAAACTGAAAACTAGCTGTTATTGGCAGAGAGGTTTGGAACTCACGTTCTTATTGGTCTATTAATTAATTTGCCACCTGGTGATGTCACAAGGCGGGCCAAAACTCCATCCCACCACAACAGGCTGACATTTCAGGTGTTCTTTAAAACAGATCTTCCACTAAAAGGGCATTATCATAATTTTAACAATTTCACAGTATTATTCCAACCTCATATTGTGGAAATGTATATAAAACACAGGAACATCACATTTTAGACTGCACTGGGCCTTTAAAGGTCAACTGACCCTTAGAACCAACTTCTCTGGTTTTAAACCGCCTATGTGGCATTGATATGAGTCAGAAACATTAATTCTAGTGTCAAGATTTACTACAAAGTGTAAATAGGATCATTTTGGTTATAAAGTCAGTCTCGTTCAAAACTGAGTTTTGTAAATGAGTTTGTAACGACTTACTGGAGGGTTGGGTCTGATTTTGGATCATACCCACTTGCCCAGTGGCTACTATCAGCCGTGAGCGCTTTATCAGCTGTGAGCACTCTATCAGCTGTGAGCGCTCTATATCCAATCATAGCAGCCAGAACCTCCAGACAGTGAGACAGACCTGCCCATTACGCAGCGCCTCAGACTTGTTTACATAAGACAACACGTCACCAATGTTATGTTGAAATAACCCTAGACCCTAAGCCCTTTATGGAGTGGCCACTTGCTGATGTGTTTGATAGTGATCACTCTAGTCTGCCACTTTTTGGTGCAAAATTAGAATTGAGACGATCAGAGCGCACTTGTATCCCAACTGCAACTTGTCAATATTCCAAAACCCATTCACGAGCATCTTGTGTCGCCCCGCGGCCTGTTTTGTAACGTGATTCCCTATGAAAGACTGCCAGACGTACACATGTACGTACACTCTGTAAGAGAGAGAGAGTTCGAGAGAGTACGTCTACGTACGTACACTCTGGTAATAGATAGTCACGTCACCACTCGCCAGTGACTCGATAAGCTGATTGTGGCCGGCCTGCTCAATGTGCCTGCTAGCTACTACTAGCTAGCTTCATTGACAATCACAGAGATGGAACTTAGCTTGCTAGCTAGTGATTTTGGTCAATGATGATAAACAGCATGTAGATTGTGCTTTATTTAGGATAGTTTTGACAGTTTACTGATGATGAAGTTGTAGCATGGTATAGTTCTCAGAAATCAGTCCTGAGCCGCGCAGCCAGACTTTCCTGACTCGATAGATTGTCCGCAATGCACTGACTCGTTTTTTCATGTAAATGTTTTAACTTGAGACATACTGCACCAAACACCTTAGCTAGATGTAAAAGTGTGTGACTAAGAGCTCCTCGGGAAAAACGTCTAAATTAATTACAGATTTCTTGATTTATCTAAGACTACTTCTGACTATTTTTAAGGAAGTGACTATTTTTAGGAAGTGGCTATGTTGTTGCTACGGTGACTCAGGAGGGACAAACAACAGTACCTGCCATTTTTATGATATGCGAACATAACACACCCACATCAAACCACACCCCCAAGACAACTCTTGTTTGGCTTCAGTAATGGCCGCTAGCATTTCTTAATGAGCAAATCTTCAAAACGAGACCAAAACAGGAAGTTAAGTCACCCTTTAACTTAGGCATGCTAGTCTGGCTACTGTAATGGTATTGGTCTTATTAGTCTGGCTACTGTAATGGTATTGGTCTTATTAGTCTGGCTACTGTAATGGTATTGGTCTTATTAGTCTGGCTACTGTAATGGTATTGGTCTTATTAGTCTGGCTACTGTAATGGTATTGGTCTTATTAGTCTGGCTACTGTAATGGTATTGGTCTTATTAGTCTGGCTACTGTAATGGTATTGGTCTTATTAGTCTGGCTACTGTAATGGTATTGGTCTTATTAGTCTGGCTACTGTAATGGTATTGGTCTTATTAGTCTGGCTACTGTAATGGTATTGGTCTTATTAGTCTGGCTACTGTAATGGTATTGGTCGTATTAGTCTGGCTACTGTAATGGTATTGGTCTTATTAGTCTGGCTACTGTAATGGTATTGGTCTTATTAGTCTGGCTACTGTAATGGTATTGGTCTTATTAGTCTGGCTACTGTAATGGTATTGGTCTTATTGTCATTATGTTACAGCCACTCAACTTCTACATTCCTAAGGTCAGTCTGGTGAATGAGAGAAGATCAGTCTGGTGAATGAGAGAAGGTCAGTCTGGTGAATGAGAGAAGATCAGTCTGGTGAATGAGAGAAGGTCAGTCTGGTGAATGAGAGAAGATCAGTCTGGTGAATGAGAGAAGGTCAGTCTGGTGAATGAGAGAAGATCAGTCTGGTGAATGAGAGAAGATCAGTCTGGTGAATGAGAGAAGATCAGTCTGGTGAATGAGAGAAGATCAGTCTGGTGAATGAGAGAAGATCAGTCTGGTGAATGAGAGAAGATCAGTCTGGTGAATGAGAGAAGGTCAGTCTGGTGAATGAGAGAAGGTCAGTCTGGTGAATGAGAGAAGGTCAGTCTGGTGAATGAGAGAAGGTCAGTCTGGTGAATGAGAGAAAACCTTACAGAATAAATACTATAATCCATCCATGACCTTACAGAATAGTTGCTATAATCCATCCATGACCTTACAGAATAGATGCTATAATCCACCCATGAGCCCCTGAGCTACAGAATGCTCTGTTGTTGCCTCATCAGCATTATATTATCCGTTATGTTTTACTTACAGCATGTTACCATACTATAACAGCTTAACACCATATTATAAACCCATTATGATACTGTGGTATACAGGTAACACATTACAATATCATTCTGGTTGTATGTATTTACCGTGGATTAACATCTGTCCTGCACAATCAGCAGTGGCTGAACAATAGAGCTTAATCACTCTCAGGTATGCTTATCCACATATTAAACCATGATGGGCTTTAAATCATACATTATCTTTAGTGACAGTGGGTAAATGGCTCACTGCATCGGTACTCAGATTCCTGAGCTGAGCTCAAGAGACAGAGAGAAAGAGAGAGAGAGAGAGAGAGAGAGAGAGAGAGAGAGAGAGAGAGAGAGAGAGAGAGAGAGAGAGAGAGAGAGAGAGAAGAGAGAGAGAGAGAGAGAGAGAGAGAGAGAGAGAGGAGAGAGAGAGAGAGAGAGAGAGAGAGAGAGAGAGAGAGGAGAGAGAGAGATGAAGAGAGAAGAGACAGAGAGAGAGAGAGAGAGAGAGAGAGACAGAGCCAGAGAGAAAGAGAGAGAGATAGTTAGAGAGACATGAGACAGAAAGAGGAGAGAGAGAGAGAGAGAGAGAGAGAGAGAGAGAGGAGAGAGAGGAGAGAGAGAGAAGAGAGAGAGAGAGAGAGAGAGAGAGAGAGAGAGAGAGAGAGAGAGAGAGGGTTTTTAAAGAGGGCTTTGCTGAGCTGAAGCTCAACAATCTAACATCCTGTCTGTTTGTCCAACTCTGTACATAAACTGTTGTAGCTGTTAAACTACAATCACTTATTGACAGAGGGATAAGCACAGAGAATAATAACAGCAGCTAGCTTATAACAGAGTGAGCATGCCAGGCCTGCATTGAGCTGCGTTAACATTTGCGTGGGTTCACGTGGAATTGGATAGTTATTGGATAGTTATTGGATTGGGATCATTTTTTTATTTTTTTTATTTTTTACGGCAGCATTTGTTGTTTCTGTAATAATCGAGTGATTATAGCGGCTTAAAGAAATCTGTTTTACACAAACATTACAAGGATTGTTGCTGATCTGTCACTTACACTGAGGGGAATCACGGGTCATAAGAGTAGAGGACTTAGCGACATACATTAACTTCTACATTAGGATCACATATGGACTACAAACACTGATGGCATGAATAATCCATAATGTGAAGCAAGATTAATAAAAATAAGATCAAATAAGATGTTTTAGTGTCACACACTGGATATGGGCAGTAAAATGTTTTTTTTTGTTTGTTTGTTTTTTTTACAGTGTTGTGTTGTTTACTAACTGAATATATATGTGATAAAATTATTATTGTGTTATTTGTTACAAAACACATGACACTTCCCTACCCCATAAGCAATAATTAAACACTTTTATTTTGTATTTGTATTAAATACTTTTATATAGTTTTTTTGCGCCTATATAACATTTGTTTATATGAATGTTTTCCAGCATTTTCCTCGGGTGTGAAAAATCTGCTTTACCCAAACATTAGAGGGATTGTTGGTTGATTGTACAGCCTCAAGTCTTCTTGGGTGTGACGCTACAAGCTTGGCACACCTGTATTTGGGGAGTTTCTCCCATTCTTCTCTGCAGATCCTCTCAAGCTCTGTCAGGTTGGAAAGGGAGCGTCGCTGCACAGCTATTTTCAGGTCTCTCCAGAGATGTTAGATCGGGTTCAAGTCCGGGCTCTGGCTGGGCCACTCAAGGACATTCAGAGACTTGTCCCGAAGCCACTCCTGAGTTGTCTTGGCTGTGTGCTTAGGGTCGCCCCAGTCTGAGGTCCTCAGCGCTCTGGAGCAGGTTTTCATCAAGGATCTCTCTGTACTTTGCTCCGTTCATCTTTCTCTCGATCCTGACTAGTCTCCCAGTCCCTGCCGTTGAAATACATCCCCACAGCATGATGCTGCCACCACCATGCTTCACCATAGGGAAGGATGCCAGGTTTTCTCCAAATGTGACGCTTGGCATTCAGGCCAAAGAGTTCAATCTGGTTTCATCAGACCAGATAATCTTGTTTCTCATGGTCTGAAAGTCCATTTTGGTGCCTTTTGGCCTGAATGCCAAGCGTCACATCTGGAGAAAACCTGGCATCCTTCCCTACGGTGAAGCATGTTGGTGGCAGCGTCATGCTGTGGAGATGTTTTTCAACTCCAAGCAGGCTGTCATGTGCCTTTTACTGAGGAGTGGCTTCCGTCTGGCCACTCTACCATAAAGGCCTGATTGGTGGAGTGCTGCAGAGATGGTTGTCCTTCTGGAAGGTTCTCCCATCTCCACAGAGGAACTCTGGACCTCTGTCAGAGTGACCATCGGGTTCTTGGTCACCTCCCTGACCAAGGCCCTTCTCCCCCGATTGCTCAGTTTGGCCGGGCGGCCAGCTCTAGGAAGAGTCTTGGTGGTTCCAAACATCTTCCATTTAAGCATGATGGAGGCCACTGTGTTCTTGGGGACCTTCAATGCTGCAGAAATGTTTTGGTACCCTTCCCCAGATCTGTGCCTCGACACAATCCTGTCTCGGAGCTCTACGGACAATTCCCTCAAACTCATGGCTTGGTTTTTGCTCTGACATGCACTGTCAACTTTGGGACCTTATATAGACAGGTGTGTGCTTTTCCAAATAATGTCTAATCAATTGAATTTACCACAGGTGGACTCCAATCAAGTTGTAGAAACATCTCAAGGATGATCAATGGAAACAGGATGCACCTGAGCTCAATTTTGAGTCTCATAGCAAAGGGTCTGAATACTTATGTAAATAAGGTATTTCTGTTTTACATTTTTTATACATTTGCAAAAATTACATTACCCTGATATTGCATTACCCTGATATTCCATTACCCTGATATTACATAACACTGATATTACATTATCCTGACAGTACATTACCCTGATATTACATTACCCTGATATTACATTACCCTGATATTACATAACACTGATATTACATAACACTGATATTACATTACCCTGATTTTATGTAACACTGATAATACATTACCCTGATATTCGTAACCCTGATATTTACCTTTTGATTATTGGGGGTTTTACATTACCCGATATGACATTGGGAAAAATGTGGGTGGTTTTTTTTGTTTTGTTGTGAGTGTGGGTGTGTGTATGTGTGTGTGTGTGTGTGTGTGTGTACTCTATGTCTGTAAGCGAGTGTTCCTGTATGTTTTGTAAGTGTATTGTGTTAGAGTGTGCGTGTTAAGAAACTGGGTCAGCATTTGGGGTATGCAGTCCCCTGCAAAAGATAAGGAAAATAAGAGGTGCGAGGGGGGGAAAAGGGGGAGAGAAGGGGGGAGGAAAAGGCAGGGGGAAGGAGAGGGAGGAGAGGCGAGAGGGAGAGGACGAGGAGAGGGGGAGGAGAGGAGGGAGAGGGAGAGGACGAGGAGAGGAGAGGAGAGGAGAGGAGGAAAAGGAGAGGAGAGATGGAGGAGGAAAAGGGAGGGGGAGGAGAGGAGAGGAGAGGAGAGGAGAGGAGAGGAGAGGAGAGGAGAGGAGAGGAGAGGAGAGGAGAGGAGGAGAGGAGAGGAGAGGAGAGGAGAGGAGAGGAGAGGAGAGGAGAGGAGAGGGGGAGAAAAACAGCTCTACAGATGACTACACAAATCACTGGGACAGTCAAGAGATGAACCATCTCCAACCCCTCTCTTCTTACAGTATAATTACATCAACTACACTTCACACTACATTTTAGAGAAAGGTTTGGCTGTTTGTCTGTTGAGGTGAGAGCTCTGTCCACCATTGTGGTCCTTCTTATGACAAATTCAAATCAACTTCATTTGACACAGCCCTTTTTACATCTGCAGATACCCAGCCTAAAACCCCAATGATGTCTATTTCAACACACGGTGGCCATAATGGGGATTCGCTCAGGTTCATAGTCTGAGAATCAACCCACTGGGGTCCTCCACTTCCCTTCTTAATACACACTGTTGCCTATCGGAGGTATAATTTGGTGTTAAAGTAAAACCGTGGCGGATCCTCTCTCTTTGACCAAACAACTACAGTCAAATCAGGGGTGATTTGAATGAGTCCCTAAAGGTTATATTTTATCCAAACACACACCACAGGAGAATCCTCATCTCTTCCTCTGCAACATAATCTGCTAAACCCTGGACCACTCTACTTCCTGGATGACCACTCTACTTCCTGGATGATTTTTGTTTTGGAAAGTGTATATGTTTTGCCAAACAACACCACACGACCTGCACACTGAACACACACAACAAGCTAAACCACGAGGAGATACTTCCTCTGTAGCTCAGCTGGTAGAGAACGGCGCTTGTAACGCCAAGGTAGTGGGTTCGATCCCCGGGACCAACCCATACACAAAAATGCTAAATGGCATATTATTATTATTATTATTGATTAAAAAAGAAACGTGTACACTTTGTACCCTGAGTGGACAAAACATTATGAACACCTGCTCTTTCCATGACATAGACTGACCGGGTGAATCCAGGTGAAAGCTATGATCCCTTATTGATGTCACTTGTTAAATCCACTTCAATCAGTGTAGATGAAGGGGAGGAGACTGGTTAAAGAAGGATTTTTAAGCCTTGAGACAATTGAGACATGGATTGTGTATGTGTGCCATTCAGAGGGTGAATGGGCAAGATAAAATATTTAAGAGTCTTTGAAAGGGGTATGGTAGTAGGTGCCAGGGTTTTTCACGCTCAATAGTTTCCCGTGTGTATCAAGAATGGTCCATCACCCAAAGGACATCCAGCCAACTTGACACAACTGTAGGAAGCATTGGAGTCAACGTGGGCCTGCATTAAACCATTCCATTATGAGAAGCGGGTGAAATCTAAAGTTGTGCTACACATTTTTAAAGATAAATATTGATACATTAATAGCTCTAACACTTTTAATCTACAGAAATGACAAATTAATTATTGGGCGATGGTGATTTCCCCCTAACTGATAGTGGGGTGGTAGATTCCCAGTTTCCCTTATGGCTCAGCCAGTGCATACATACACCCACCCACCCACCCACCCACCCATACACCCACCCACCCAACCCATCCACCCACCCACCCACCCACCCACCCACCCACCCACCCACTTAGCCTACGTATCATCATGAAAGGGAAAGATGCACATCCCTAATATTTTATAAAGCCCTTTTTACATCAGCAGATGACACAAAGTAGGAAGAGGAAGAGGAGGAGAGGAGAGGAGAGGAGAGGAGAGGAGAGGAGAGGAGAGGAGAGGAGAGGAGAGGAGAGGAGAGGAGAGGAGAGGAGAGGAGAGGAGAGGAGAGGAGAGGAGAGGGGAGGAGAGGAGAGGAGAGGAGAGGAGAGGAGAGGAGGAGAGGAGAGAGAGGAGAGGAGAGGAGAGGAGAGGAGAGGAGAGGAGAGGAGAGGAGAGGAGAGGAGAGGAGAGGAGAGGAGAGGAGGAGAAGAGAGGAGGACGCGGACAGAGGAGAGGAGCCCAATTTAAGCAGACGAAAGGTAACCAGGCGCCGCAGACAGAAGCAGCAGGACAGAGAAGAAGAGGGCAGCAAAGAGACAGACGGGACGACAGAAAGGGACAGAAGAAGACAAGGAGGGCAGCAGACAGACAGACAGACAAAGTGACAGAAGAGGCAGACAGACGACAGAAGGCGCGCGACATAGACAGAGCGAGCGACAGGAGACAGAGGGACGAAGAGAAAGAATGAGGCAGAAGACGGGATAGAAAGAGCAGGAGAGACGGCAGAGCAGACGAGAGAGACAGACATGAGTAGGAGAGACAGACAGGGGAGTGAGAGACGAGAGGCAGAAGAGAGACGAAGGATAAGAGAGCGAGAAGAGAGAAAGAGCAGACAGAGAGAGAGAGACGAAGAGGAGAGAAGAGAAAGTAGCTCTGATGTCATAATCTTACGTCTATCTCTCTCTATCTCTCTATTTCTATCTGATGTACTCTCAATCTATACACACTCTCTTTCTCTTAGTTATGTAGAGTTACTATCCTCTCTTCCCTCTCTGTACTCTCTCTCTCTCTCTCTCTCTCTCTCTGTCTCTCCTCTCTCCCTCTCTCGTCTCTCTCCCTCTCTCTCTCTGTCTCTATCTTCTATCCTTGTCTCTCCCTCTCTCCCTCTCTCTCTCTCTCCGTCTCTCCCTCTCTCCCTCTCTCTCTCTGTTATGTAGAGTTACTAGTCCCTCTCTCCCTCTCCCTCGCTCTCTCATTGGAACCAGCGAAGGCACCATCCACACGTTCTCATCCTCCTCAACGTGCACACTGCTCAGAGTCAGGATCAATAACACACTGTAAAGGTGTCACTGAAGGGCCCGGAGCTGTTATCATTTAGCAAAGTAAGCAACTTCACGGAATTAATTACATTATTATTTTAATCCGCAATGCTTTTCCCTAACAATCACAAGCATTGATGTGAGTTTAGAATACAGGTCAGATGGTAGCTACAATGCTATTTGCACCCTTTCTAATTTTCTCTACTTTTGCATATTTTTGATACTGAATGTTATCAGATCTAATATTAGATAAAGGGAACCTGAGTGAACAAAATAACACAACAATGATATACTTATGTAAGTTATTTCATAAACAAAGTTATGCAACACCCAATGCCCCTGTGTGAAAAAGTAATTGCCCCCTTACACTCAATAACTGGTTGTGCCCCCTTTAGTTGCAATGACTGTAGTTGTTGGTCAGTCTCTCACGTTGCTGTGGAGGAATTTTCTCCCACTCTTCCATGCATAACTGCTTTATCAGTGACATTTGTGGGCTTTCAAGCATTAACTGCTCGTTTCAAGTCTTCACCTTTTTGCTTTTTAGCCATTTTCATGTAGACTTGATCGTGTGTTTTGGATCATTGTCTTGCTGCATGACCCAGCAGCGCTTCAGCTTCAGCTCACAGACGGATGGTCTGACATTCTCCTGTAGAATTCTCTGATACAGAGCATAATTCACAGTTCCTTCTATTAAGGCAAGTCGTCCAGGTCCTGAGGCAGCAAAGCATCCCCAAACCGTCACACCACCACCACCATGCTTGACCGTTGGTATGAGGTTCTTACTGTGGAATGCAGAGTTTGGTTTTCGCCAGGCATTACTGGAACCATGTCATCCAAAAAGTTATACATTTGACTCATCTGTCCATAGAACATTCTTCCAAGAGTCTTTAATGAGCATCCAGGTGCTCCAAGGTGCTTTTTGGCAAACTTGAGTCAACTTTTTGGATGAGATGGGTCCCGTTATTTGAAGTTTTAGAAAGGCCTAGTCAAAGTCCAGACCTAATCCCAATTGAGATGTTGTGGCAGAACTTGAAAGGAGCAGTTCATGCTTGAAAACCCACAAATGTCGCTGAGTTAAAGCAGTTATGCATGCAAGAGTGGGCCAAAATTCCTCCACAGCGACGTGAGAGACTGATCAACAACTACAGGAAGCATTTGGTTGCAGTCATTGCAGCTAAAGGTGGCACAACCAGTTATTGAGTTATTTTCACACAGGGAAAAATTGGGTGTTGCATAACTTTGTTAATTAAATAAATAAAATAAGTATAAATATATATGTATTTATTTTTTGTAAACTCAGGTTGCCTTTATCTAATGTTAGGCTTTGGTTGAAGATCTGAAAACATTCAGTATCAAAAATATGCAAAAATAGAGAAAATCAGAAAGGGAGCAAATACTTTTTCACGTCACTGTATGACCTAATGTACGGTGCCCCTAATAGCCCAAAAATATAGTTGCAAATAGTTGCTCCGGATCTCAGACCATTCCAGTGCTGCAGTCAGACGAAAGCTGCATCTGAAATGACCCCCTATTCTGTATATAGTCCACTACTTTAGACCCGAAATGACCCCCTATTCCGTATATAATCCACTATATTAGACCTGAAACGACCCCCTATTCCGTATATATAATCCACTACTTTAGACCTGCAATGACCCCCTATTCTGTATATAATCCACTACTTTAGACCCGAAATGACCCCCTATTCCGTATATAATCCACTACTTTAGACCCGAAATGACCCCCTATTCCGTATATATAATCCACTACTTTAGACCCGAAATGACCCCCTATTCCGTATATAATCCACTACTTTAGACCCAAAATGACCCCCTATTCCGTATATAATCCACTATATTAGACCTGAAACGACCCCCTATTCCGTATATATAATCCACTACTTTAGACCCGAAATGACCCCCTATTCCGTATATAATCCACTATATTAGACCTGAAACGACCCCCTATTCTGTATATAGTCCACTACTTTAGACCAGAGCCTGGTGTTTTAAATCAGGCTCCTGGGCTCTGCTCTGGTCCTTCTGTGGCATCGTCACATGTCAGAGGCTGAAACAGCACAGGCAGGAAATAAACCAACTGTATTCTAATGTTACCTAAGATCTTCATAAACACAACCAACTGATTAATGTTTGCAATAGCATATATGAAATGTATTTTTTAGACTGTTAGAATGTTGACGTCCAAAAGACTCATCATTGGCTCGAAGGGGGTCCCTCGAGGCCAGGCTTTTCTAGTGTTAAGAGCAGGTTTTCAGTACTCTACCCACCTCAGTCTCTTAGACATCCAGTAACCAGAGAGAAGAGGCAGCACCGTGCCACCCACTGCCAACAAAATGGTCGCAAACACCCAATTATAGACCTATGCTATGCCATGCCATCAAATCCAACTGATGGCTGTCACAAGGTGTGAGTATACGAGTGGTGTAAGAAGTTGATATCAGAAGCACAGCAACCCTGAACGCCAGCCAACGCTCTGTGGTGACGAGGTGTGAATTAGCCCCGTCTAGCAGATGTCTGGAAATAGACCCAGCTGATCATCAGGCCCTGAATTGTGCAAGATCATTCAGACGTCAAGACAAGACAAGAACACGCAACTGTCAGACTAGTGGTCAATTCAGTCTGAAGTGAATTAAGCTGAGAAGAACGTAACAGATCTCCCCCAACTAGTAATGAAGTAATTTGGGACCCCGAGGAACTTGAAGCTCTCGACCTGCTCCACTGCAGCCCCGTCGATGTGGATGGGGGCGTGCTCGCCCCCCGTTTCCTGTAGTCCACGATCAGCTCCTTGTTCTTGCTGACGTTGAGGGAGAGGTTGATGTCCCGGCACCACACTGCCAGGTCACTGACCTCCTCCCTATAGGCTGTCTCATCGTCACCGGTGATCAGGCATACCACCGTTGTGTTGTCAGCAAACTTGATGATGCTGTTGGGAGTCGTGCCTGGCCACGCAGTCGTGGGTGAACAGGGAATACAGGAGGGGACTAAGCACACACCCCTATGGGGCCCCCGTGTTGAGGGACAGCATGGCGGAGGTGAGGTTGCCTAACCTCACTACCTGGGGTCGGCCCATCAGGTAGGCCAGGATCCAGTTGCAGAGGGAGGTGTTCAGTCCCAGGGTCCTAAACTTGGTGACTAGCTTGGAGGGGACAATGGTGTTGAATGCTGAGCTGTAGTCAATGAACAACATTCTCACATACAGTGGGGGAAAAAAGTATTTAGTCAGCCACCAATTGTGCAAGTTCTCCCACTTAAAAAGATGAGAGAGGCCTGTACTTTTCATCATAGGTACACGTCAACTATGACAGACAAAATGAGAAAAAAAATCCAGAAAATCACATTGTAGGATTTTTAATGAATTTATTTGCAAATTATGGTGGAAAATAAGTATTTGGTCAATAACAAAAGTTTCTCAATACTTTGTTATATACCCTTTGTTGGCAATGACACAGGTCAAACGTTTTCTGTAAGTCTTCACAAGGTTTTCACACACTGTTGCTGGTATTTTGGTCCATTCCTCCATGCAGTTCTCCTCTAGAGCAGTGATGTTTTGGGGCTGTCGCTGGGCAACATGGACTTTCAACTCCCTCCAAAGATTTTCTATGGGGTTGAGATCTGGAGACTGGCTAGGCCACTCCAGGACCTTGAAATGCTTCTTACGAAGCCACTCCTTCGTTGCCCGGGCGGTGTGTTTGGGATCATTGTCATGCTGAAAGACCCAGCCACGTTTCATCTTCAATGCCCTTGCTGATGGAAGGAGGTTTTCACTCAAAATCTCACGATACATGGCCCCATTCATTCTTTCCTTTACACGGATCAGTCGTCCTGGTCCCTTTTCAGAAAAACAGACCCAAAGCATGATGTTTCCACCCCCATGCTTCACAGTAGGTATGGTGTTCTTTGGATGCAACTCAGCATTTTTGTCCTCCAAACACGACAAGTTGAGTTTTTACCAAAAAGTTCTATTTTGGTTTCATCTGACCATATGACATTCTCCCAATCCTCTTCTGGATCATCCAAATGCACTCTAGCAAACTTCAGACGGGCCTGGACATGTACTGGCTTAAGCAGGGGGACACGTCTGGCACTGCAGAAATTGAGTCCCTGGCGGCGTAGTGTGTTACTGATGGTAGGCTTTGTTACTTTGGTCCCAGCTCTCTGCAGGTCATTCACTAGGTCCCCCCGTGTGGTTCTGGGATTTTTGCTCACCGTTCTTGTGATCATTTTGACCCCACGGGGTGAGATCTTGCGTGGAGCCCCAGATCGAGGGAGATTATCAGTGGGCTTGTATGTCTTCCATTTCCTAATAATTGCTCCCACAGTTGATTTCTTCAAACCAAGCTGCTTACCTATTGCAGATTCAGTCTTCCCAGCCTAGTGCAGGTCTACAATTTTGTTTCTGGTGTCCTTTGACAGCTCTTTGGTCTTGGCCATAGTGGAGTTTGGAGTGTGACTGTTTGAGGTTGTGGACAGGTGTCTTTTATACTGATAACAAGTTCAAACAGGTGCCATTAATACAGGTAACGAGTGGAGGACAGAGGAGCCTCTTAAAGAAGAAGTTACAGGTCTGTGAGAGCCAGAAATCTTGCTTGTTTGTAGGTGACCAAATACTTATTTTCCACCATAATTTGCAAATAAATTCATTAAAAATCCTACAATGTGATTTTCTGGATTTTTTCTCTCTCAATTTGTCTGTCATAGTTGACGTGTACCTATGATGAAAATTACAGGCCTCTCTCATCTTTTTAAGTGGGAGAATTTGCACAATTGGTGGCTGACTAAATAATTTTTTTCCCCACTGTAGGTTTTCCTCTTGTCTAGGTGGGTGAGGGCAGTGTGGAGTGCAATTGAGATTGCGTCGTCTATGGATCACAGAATTTGCCTGCCAGCTGATATGCGCATGCTCTGAGAACGCGCCCTGGAACACCTTGCGAGTGTTGACCTGATTAAAGACCTTACTCACGTCGGCCTCGGAGAGCGAAATCACCCAGTCCTCTGGTTCGATGGAGGCCCTCACGCACGGTATGGTGTTGTTATTGTTGAAGTGTGCATAAAATGCATTGAGTTCGTCTGCTAGAGAGGCATTGTTGGGCAGATCACGGCTGGGTCTTCCTCTGTAATCCGTAATGGACTGTAGCCCCTGCCATATGCGACGGGCGTCGGAGCCTGTGGAATATTTTATTTTATTTTTTTATCTTTATTTAACTAGGCAAGTCAGTTAAGAACAAATTCTTATTTACAATGACGGCCTACACCGGCCAAACCCGGACGACGCTGGGCCAATTGTGCGCCGCCCTATGGGACTCCCAATCACGGCCGGTTGTGATACAGCCTGGAATCGAACCAGGGGGGTCTGTAGTGACGCCTCAAGCACTGAGATGCAGTGCCTTAGACCACTGCGCCACCCGGGAGCCCATATGATTCCACCTTATTCCTATATTGTCCTTTTGCTTGTTTGATGACTCTGCGGAGTTCGTAGGGGGACTCCTTGTACTTGTTCCTGTCCTCAGCCGTAGCCTTAGGGTTGTCTGCGATAGCCCTGTGTGTGGAAGCCCTGTCCTTTAGCTTAGTGCCAAACTCTGTGTTAATCCAGGACTTTTGATTGGGGAAGCAGCGAACCTTCACTGTGGGGACAACATCGCCAATGCATGTCCTTATGAAGCCGGTGACGGAGGTGGTTAACTCGTCGATGTTAGCGGCGGAGTCTGAGAACATATTCCAATCAGCACTAGGAAAGCAGTCATGTAGCATAATCTGTGATTCTGATGACCATTTCTCATCGGAGCGAGTCACGGATACTTCCTGTTTGAGCTTCTGCTTGTAAACAGTAAGCAGGGGTACAGAGTCATGATCTGATTTGCTGAATGGCGGACGAGGGAGGGCTTGCTTGTATTATATTTGTATTTATTATGGATCCCCATTAGTTCCTGCCAAGGCAGCAGCTACTCTTACTGGGGTTTATTATGGACCCCCATTAGTTCCTGCCAAGGCAGCAACTACTCTTCCTGGGGTTTATTATGGATCCCCATTAGTTCCTGTCAAGGCAGCAGCTACTATTCCATATGTATTGTTGATGAAGAGGCACACCCCTCCCCCTCTCGAATTCCCATTACTGTCCTGTCAGCTCGGTGAATGGAGAATCCATTGAGTTGGACAGCCATGTTTCAGAAAAGCAGAGAATATTGTAGTTACGAGAATCCTGTTAGTAGCAAATCCGCAATCTGAGGTCATTCATCTTATTATAAAGTGACTGTACATTGGCCAATAGAATGGAGGGAGGAGGTGGCCAGTTCTCCCTTCGCCTTAATCTCACCAAGATCCCCCCGCTCTTGCCTCTGTAACACCGGCGTTTCCTCTTGGATATGCCGAAAATTGGGTCGGAGATACAGGAAAAAGCCCAGGGCAGATGAGTCGAAGTAGAAGCCGGAATTCGGGTAAGTAACTGCTGATCTGATGTTCAAAATCAAATTTGATGTGTCACATGCGCCGAATATAACATGTGTAGACCTTACCGTGAAATGCTTACTTACAAGCCCTTAACCATATATATATATATATATATATATATATATATATATATATATATATAAAATAATACAAAATAAAAGTAACAAATAATTAAAGAGCAGCAGTAAAAAATAACAAAAGCAAGGCTATATACAGGGGGTACCGGTACCGAGTCAATGTGCGGGGGAACCGGTTAGTCGAGGAAGGCTAACCTTCTAGACTCCAGCCACCCTAGTCATAAACTGTTCTCTCTGCTACCGCACGGCAAGTGGTACCGGAGCACCAAGTCTAGGTCCAAAAGGCCACTTAACAGCTTCTACCACCAAGCCATAAGACTCCTGAACAGCTAATCATGGCTACCCGGACTATTTGCATTGCATTTGCATCTTGGACCTAGACTTGGCGCTCCGGTACCGCTTGCCGTGCGGTAGCAGAGAGAACAGTCTATGACTAGGGTAGCTGGAGTCTTTGACAATTTTTAGGGCCTTCCTCTGACACCGCCTAGTATATAGGTCCTGGATGGCAGGAAGCTTGGCCCCAGTGATGTACTGGGCCGTACGCACTACCTTCTGTAGTGCCTTGCAGTCGGAGGCTGAGCAGTTGCCATACCAGGCAGTGATGCAACAAGTCAGGATGCTCTTGAGGATCTGAGGACCCATGCCAAATCTTTTCAGTCTCCTTAGGGGGAATAGGTTTTGTTGTGCCCTCTTCACGACTGTCTTGATGTGCTTGGACCATGTTAGTTTGTTGGTGATGTGGACACCAAGGAACTTGAAGCTCTCAACCTGCTCCACTACAACCCTGTCGATGAGAATGGGGGCATGCTCAGTCCTCTTCTTTTTCCTGTAGTCCACAATCAGCTCCTTTGTCTTGATCATGTTGAGGGAGAGGTTGTTGTCCTGGTACCACACGGCCAGGTCTCTGACATCCTCCCTATAGGCTGTCTCGTCGTTGTTGGTGATCAGGCCTACCACTGTTGTGTCATCTGCAAAACGTAATGATGGTGTTGGAGTCGTGCCTGGCCATGCAGCCATGAGTGAACAGGGAGTACAGGAGGGGACTGAGCACACACCCCTGAGGGGCCCCCGTGTTGAGGATCAGCGTGGAGGATGTGTTGTTACCTACCCTTACCACCTGGGGGCGGCCCGTCAGGAAGTCCAGGATCCAGTTGCAGAGGGAGGTGTTTAGTACCAGGGTCCTTGGCTTATTGATGAGCTTTGAGGGCACTATGGTGTTGATCACTGAGCTGTAGTCAATTAATAGCATTCTCACACAGGTAAGACCTCATTTAAAAAAAATGTTGACCTCCACAAGTCTGGTTCATCCTTGGGGAATTTCCAAATGCCTGAAGGTACCACATTAATCTGTACAAACAATGGTACGCAAGTATAAACACCATGGGACCACGCAGCCGTCATACTGCTCAGGAAGGAGACGCATTCTGTCTCCTAGAGATGATCGTACTTTGGTGCGAAAAGTGCAAATCAATCCCAGAACAACAGCAAAGGACCTTGTGAAGATGCTGGAGGAAACAGGGACAAAATTATCTATATCCACAGTAAAATTAGTCCTATATCGACATAACCTGAAAGGCTGCTCAGCAAGGAAGAAGCCACTGTTCCAAAACCGCCATAAAAAAGCCAGACTATGGTTTGCAACTGCACATGGGGACAAAGATTGTACTTTGTGGAAAAATGTCCTCTGGTCTGATGAAACAAAAATATAACTGTTTGGCCATAATGACCATCGTTATGTTTAGAGGAAAAAGGGGGTCTGCTTGCAAGCCGAAGAACACCATCCCAACCGTGAAGCACGGGGATGGCAGCATCATGCTGTGGGGGTGCTTTGCTGCAGGAGGGACTGGTGCACTTCACAAAATAGATGGCATCATGAGGAAGGAAAATTATGTGGATATATTGAAGCAATATCTCAAGACATCAGTCAGGAAGTTAAAGCTTGGTCGCAAATTGGTCTTCCAAATGGACAATGACCCCAAGCATTCTTCCAAAGTTGTGGCAAAATGGCTTAAGGACAACAAAGTCAAGGTATTGGAGTGGCCATCACAAAGCCCTGACCTCAATCCTATAGAACATTTGTGGGCAGAACTGAAAAAGTGTGTGCGAGCAAGGAGGCCTACAAACCTGACTCAGTTACACCAGCTCTGTCAGGAGGAATGGGACAAAATTCACCCAACTTATTGTGGGAAGCTTGTGGAAGGCTACCCACAATATTTGACCCAAGTTAAACAATTTAAAGGCAATGCTACCAAATACTAATTGAGTGTATGTAAACTTCTGACCCACTGGGAATGTGATGAAATAAATAAAAGCTGAAATAAATCATTCTCGCTACAAGTATTCTGACATTTCACATTCTTAAAATAAAGTGGTGATCCTAACTGACCTAAGACAGGGCATTTTTACTAGGATTAAATGTCAGGAATTATGAAAAACTGAGTTTAAATGTATCTGGCTAAGGTGTATGTAAACTTCCGACTTCAACTGTACGTGCTTGTAGTGCATCCACTTTATTATCAAGCGATTGTAAGTTGATTAGCCACTCGTCGCTGGCTCCTTACCAAGCACCGCGATATCTCCTTTTCTTTCTACTGCGAATGACAGGAATGAGGGCCCTGTCGGGTGTCTGGAGCAAATCCCTCTCGTTTGACTCATTAAAGAAAAATGATTAGTCCAGTTCAAGGTGAGTAATCGCTGTTCTGATGTCCAGAAGCTCTTTTTGGTCATAAGAGACGGTAGCAGCAACATTATGTACACAACAAGTTACAAACAATGCGGAAAAAAACACAAAATAGCGCGGTTGGTTATGAGTCCATAAAACGGCAGCCATCCCCTCCGGCGTCATTAGGGTGTCGTTAGGGTGATGTTAAAGCGTGAAAGCGTTGCTAGATGCTGCTAACGTACAGGGCAGCGGAAAATAAAACAGAAAACAGATTTCAGGAAGCTAAAAGGGTGGAAATAGTTTGACTAATAAAGATGGGTTGGGCGGTGGGCGTAAAAACGTTTGGCGAGGGAGGTTCAAGGTTCTAAGTCACTCACGGTCCTTTGGTTTTACATCCTAGTTGGAGCTGTGTGTATATGTGTGCTGCATAGCGTACTGATTGGTTAACTAGGATTTTGGACGTGTTTTGTTTGTGAATTTAAATTCTTGCTGTTTTTGCTAGAACAATTAATCATTATATAGTGTATATTCTAAAAGAGGCATGAATACAGACAGTATATTATTATCATATAATAATAATAATAATAATAATAATACTATTATATCATATATTAACGAAGTGAGGAATTTGCTTTTATCTAAAATCAAAGGCATGTTCACAAATCTATTAAACGGTACCTTCCTGGGAGAACAGAGCAGCCTTCTCAAGAAATATGTAGACTTTTGTTTTGAACAAAAATTAATTAGTTTATTTTATTTTAATACATAAAGATGCTTGCTGCAATGAATGTGGTATCTAATTTGTATTTAGTAAAATACAGTCCTTGATGAGTAATTCCCAAAGGCTAGGCCCTGGTTGTTCTGGCGAAAGCATAAAATCCTTGAATTATAGGATACTTAAGGGAAGGGCCTAGTACTTTCCAGAGATTTTCGACAGCTGTGTGTGTGTGTGTGTGTGTGTGTGTGTGTGTGTGTGTGTGTGTGTGTGTGTGTGTGTGTGTTGAGACTACAATAGCTGTCTCTGAGGTAGAACACTATTCTGAGTGAGGATATGGACCCAAATGAGGCTGTATACCCAATTATTTTTTAAATACATTTTAGTCATTTAGCAGATGCTCTTATCCAGAGCGACTTACAGTTAGTGAGTGCATACATTTTCATACTTTTTTTCATACTGGCAAATGGCACCCTATTCCCTACATAGTGCACTACTTTTGACCAAAGCCCTATGGAAGCTAGGGGATAGGGTGCCATCTAAAGACACCACCCTGATCCTTCTACTGTGGTCTGCTAGAATGACCTACACCAAATCACTCCGGCTACCGTTAGCCTATAGGGCTAAAATGTGGATGAATACTACATTTGATTTTACTACACTTTGATCATAACATAACAACTTCGATCATGGGGCGGCAGGTAGCTTAGTGGTTAAGAGCGTTGTGCCAGTAACCGAAAGGTCGCTGGTTCTAATCCCCGAGCCGACTAGGTGAAAAATCTGCCGATGTGCCCTTGAGCAAGGCACTTAACCCTAATTGCTCATGTAAGTCGCTCTGGATAAGAGCGTCTGCTAAACGACGTAAATGTAAATAACACGTAACGCTTTAAATATAATAACTATTTTATTAAACTACTTTTAATAACTATTGGTGCTGTGAAGTTGTGTTTATGTTGTATATTCTTGTACACTGAGTATACCAAACATTAAGAACACCTTCCTAATACACCTTCCTAATATTGAGTTGCACCCCCCCCCCCCCCCTTGCCCTCAGAACAGCCTGAATTCTTCGGGGCATGGACCACAGGGATGCTGGCCCATGTTGAACCCAAACGCTTCTGACACTTGTGTCAAGTTGGCTGGATGTCCTTCGGGTGGTGGACCAATCTTGCTACACACGGGAAACTGTTGAGTGTGAAAAACCCAGCAGCGTTGCAGTTCTTGACACAAACCGGTGCGCCTGGCACCTACTACCATACCCCGTTCAAATACACTTAAATCTTTTGTCTTGCCCATTTACCCTCTGAATGGCACACATACACAATCCATGTCTCAATTGTCTCAAGGCTTAAAAATCCTTCTTTAACATGTCTCCTCCCCTTCACCTACACTGATTGAAGTGGATTTAACAAGTGACATCAATAAGGGATCATAGCTTTCACCTGGATTCAGCTGGTCAGTCTGTCATGGAAAGAGCAGGTGTTCGTAATGTTTTGTCCACTCAGTGTAGTTAGTTTTTATGTATCTGAAATGGTGCCTACATAATTGCCCCTTATGGGATGAATAAAGTATTTTGAATTGAATTGATTATCTCAAAAACAATGTTTATTTTGTGGAATTGATTTCCACTGGTTTCAAAGACGCAGAGAAATACAACCCTAGAACCTAACAGAGACAATACTAGAAGACAGTAGCCCTGACTGTCACTTGGCATAACATCAGTGATATATACAGTTTATATCAATACCAGAGGATTGCATTTATGTAATGTGAGTCGATGTTTCATATCCCCAAGGAGATCGTGGAAAGACAGATATTCTTCGAAAGATTAAAACAGATAACTGTTTATAAAAGCCTTGAGGTAAGAAGTGTTCCTTCAATACAGAGAGAAGAGAAGAGAGGAGAGAGAAGAGAGGAGAGGAGAGGAGGAGAGGAAGGAGAGGAGGGAGAGGAGAGGAGAGGAGAGGACGAGGAGGAGAGGACGAGGAGGAGAGAAGAGAGAGGAGAGGAGAGCGGAGAGGAGAGGAGAGGAGAGGAGAGGAGAGAGAGGACGAGGAGAGGAGGGAGAGAGAGGAGAGGAGAGGAGAGGAGAGGAGGGAGAGGCAGAGGAGGGGAGGGGAGGGGAGGGGAGGGGAGGGGAGGAGAGGAGAGGAGAGGAGAGGAGAGGAGAGGAGAGGAGAGGAGAGGAGAGGAGAGGAGAGGAGAGGAGAGGAGAGGAGAGGACGAGAGGAGAGAGAGGGAGAGGAGAGGAGAGGAGAGGAGAGGAGAGGAGGGAGAGGAGAGGAGAGGAGAGGAGAGGAGACCTATAAGTAGTGCTGAAGGCAAATCGTGAGTCCCAAATGGCACCCTATTCCCTATACAGTTCACTACTTGTGACCAGAGCCCTATGGGATCTAGTGTACTATATATGGATAGGGTGCCATTTGGGACACAGCCAAACAGACATTATGATAAGAGACAGAGAGTTCTTTCCTTATTGAACCACATGTCAACGCCTTGTTCCGAGTATTACCAGCTAATCTCTGTGAAAACATGACACTTCCAATAGCTGATGAATCCCCAGCTAGCTAACAGACCCCAGGCCCTTCTTCCTCTGCTACTGCTTTACTACAACCATACAGTAGGAGTAGCTTAGCACTGCTAGTCTACAACCCACCAACACTAACCCAGTTATTCAACCCTCCAGAGGTCCAATACTAACCCAGTTATTCAACCCTCCGGAGGTCCAAAACTAACCCAGTTATTCAACCCTCCAGAGGTCCAATACTAACCCAGTTATTCAATCCTCCAGAGGTCCAACACTAACCCAGTTATTTAACCCTCCAGAGGTCCAACACTAACCCAGTTATTCAACCCTCCAGAGGTCCAACACTAACCCAGTTATTCAACTCTCCAGAGGTCCAACACTAACCCAGTTATTCAACTCTCCAGAGGTCCAAAACTAACCCAGTTATTCAACCCTCCAGAGGTCCAATACTAACCCAGTTATTCAACCCTCCAGAGGTCCAATACTAACCCAGTTATTCAAACCTCCAGAGGTCCAATAATAACCCAGTTATTCAACTCTACAGTATCTCCCCAATACTAACCCAGTTATTCATTCCTCCAGAGGTCCAATACTAATCCAGTTATTCAAACCTCCAGAGGTCCAATACTAACCCAGTTATTCAACTCTACAGTATCTCCCCAATACTAACCCAGTTATTCAACTCTACAGTATCTCCCCAATACTAACCCAGTTATTCAACTCTACAGTATCTCCCCAATACTAACCCAGTTATTCAATCCTCCAGAAGTCCAAAACTAACCCAGTTATTCAACTACAGTCTCTTCCCAAAACTAACCCATTTATTCAAACCTCCAGAAGTCCAAAACTAACCCAGTTATTCAACTCTACAGTAGTTCCCCAACACTAACCCAGTTTACTAAGAGAAAATACTATAACATCCTTGGTCTCTGAAAATAACAGTTGAACAAATTGTCATTTAAATGTATAATGATAAACCTGCACAAAAATATGTTAATGGAAAACTGATTACACTGAGAGAAGATCACCCCAAATTATTCTACACTGAACAAAGACATAAATGCAACAATTTCACAGATTTTACTGAGTTACAGTTCATATAAGGAAATCAGTCAATTGAAATAAATTCATTAGGCCCTAATCTCTGGATTTCACATGACTGGGAATATAGATGCGCATCTGTTGGTCACAGATACCTTAAAAAAAAAAAAAGTAGGGGCGTAAATCAGAAAACCAGTCAGTATCTGGTGCGACCATTTGCCTCATGCAGCGCGACACATCTCCTTCGCATAGAGTTGATCAGGCTGTTGATTGTGGCCTGTGGAATGTTGTCCCACTCCTCTTCAATGGCTGTGCGAAGTTGCTGGATATTGGTGGGAACTGGAACACGCTGTCGTACACGTCAATCCAGACCATCCCAAACATGCTCAATGGGTGACATGTCTGGTGAGTATGCAGGCCATGGAAGAACTGGGACATTATCAGCTTCTAGGAATTGTGTACAGATTTTTGTGACATGGGCTGTGCATTATCTGCTGAAACATGAGGTGATGGCGGCGGATGAATGGCACGACAATGGGCCTCAGGATCTCGTCACGGTATCTCTGTGTATTCAAACTGCCATCGTGTTCATGCTACGTAAGTTATGCCTGCCCATACCATAACCTCACTGCCACCATGGGGCACTCTGTTCACAACGTTGACATCAGCAAACCGCTCGCCCACACATTTACATTTAGTATTTAAGCAGAACGCTCTTATCCAGAGCGACTTACAGTTAGTGATACATCTTTTTTTTTTTTTTATATACTGGCCCCCCGTGGGAACGAACCACAACCCTGGCGTTGCAAACGCCATGCTCTGATCACTGAGCTACATCCCTGGCCGGCCATTCCCTCCCCTACCCTGGACCAATTGTGCGCCGCCCATGAGTCTCCCGGTCGCGGCCGGCTGCGACAGAGCCTGGATTCGAACCAGGATCTCTAGTGGCACAGTTAGCACTGCGATGCAGTGCCTTAGACCACTGCGCCACACACGACGCCATACACACTGTCATTTGCTATGTACAGTTGAAACCGGGATTCATCCGTGAAGAGCATACTTCTCCAGTGTGCCAGTGGCCATTGAAGATGAGCATTTGCCCACTGAAGTCTTTTATGACACCAAACTGCAGTCAGGTCAAGACCCTGTTGAGGACGATGAGCACGCAGATGAGCTTCCCTTAGACGGTTTCTGACAGTTTGTGCAGAAATTCTTTGGTTGTCCAAACCCACAGTTTCATCAGCTGTCCGGGTGGTTGGTCTCAGACGATCCCGCAGGTGAAGAAGCCAGATGTGGAGGTCCTGGGCTGGCGTGGTTACACGTGGTCTGCGGTTGTGAGGCCGGTTGGTCGTACTGCCACATTTTTTAAAGCCGCCTCGGCTTATGGTAGAGAAATTAACATTCAATTATCTGGCAACAGCTCTGGTGGACATTCCTGCAGTCAGCATGCCAATTGCATGTTCCCTCAAAACTTGAGACATCTGTGGCATTGTGTTGTGGGACAGAACTGCACATTTTAGAATGGCCTTTTATTGTCCCCAGCACAAGGTGCACCTGTGTAATGATCATGCCGTTTAATCAGCTTCTTGATATGCCACACCTGTCAGGTGGATGGATTATCTTGGCAAAGGAGAAATGCTCATTAAAAGGGATCAGTAAACAAATTTGTGCACACCATTTTTGAGAAATAAGCATGTTGTGTGTATGGAACATTTCTGGGATCTTTTATTTGAGCTCATGAAACATAGGACCAACACCTTACATGTTGCGTTCATATTTTTGTTCAGTATAGCTCTTTAGATACCGTAAGTTCCACCTCTTTCAACAATTATTACCGTACACATAATCAGATAGGTATCGTAATCCTAAGTAAAAATGAAAGCCAAAGAGCAACACTGAGACAGCGAAGATGAATATAAAGAGAAATGGCTTTACTGAGCTACAACAAAAACAACAGAACAGAACCTGTTCATAATTCATAAAGGTTAAAACAACGGTTTATTCTGAGGCTTTCAGCGAAAGTAAGATGCTCCCTGTTGCATAGCCATCTCGCACTCACACACCTCCCTCTAAAAACAAACATGTGAAATTGCAGTTTCACATGTGTAAATCACATTTTTAACCCATGAAATGGCTGTGTTCACATGTAGAGTTTAAATACATGAAATCATATTTTCACATGTATTGAATTTAGAGTTCACATGTTAAAATCAACCACAACAAACATTTGCTGTTTCACATGTAAGAAAACTCCAAATGTGTAAATCTCACTTTCACATGTGGAATTGCAAGTTCACATGTGGTGGTGAAATAGTGTTATTCTCCTCACATGTGAAACGGTGGTGTTATCATGTTGCAGGAGTAAATGTTTCCACGTGTGGAACGGCTAACGGTGTAATGTCATTCTGTAAAAGGTTACTGAGTATAATAACTCAGGTGTGTTTCTTATTTCTGAGCCATCCACTCCACTATTACTGTAGTCCTCCACGGTGTTGCATTGATAGACATGGCGGCAGGTAGCTTAGTGGGTAAGAGCGTTGTGCCAGTAACCGAAAAGGTCTAGAGGTCTGTAATTGTCACGAATTCTGCCGAGACTGCTCCTCCTCCTTGCTCGGACAGGCTTCGGCGTTCGTCGTCCCCGGAGTACTAGCTGCCACCGTTGTATGTTTCGATGTTCGTTTGGTTGGGTCTGTCTGTTACACCTGTGTCCGTTTTGGGTCTGATTATGTGCCCTATAAGTTTCCTGTGTTGTTTTCGTTAGTTTGTGTGTTATTTTCCGCCTGTCCGTTGGTGTCACCTGTGCAGTACTCTGGACTTTGTTTATTGTGACGCACTGTGTTGCGTTGTCGCTCGCCTCCTTGTTTTGAGGTCCTTTATTTTGTACTGTTTATACAGTTAGTAAAGTCTTGTTTGACTCAGCCTATGCGTCCTGCGTCTGACTCCTCAACCGCATCCACATCAACACTGACAGTAATTTTTATCATAGGTACACTTCAACTGTGAGAGATCAAATACTTTTTTCCATCAGTTCTTACCTTCTGCAGGGCCAGGTGTATTGTGTTGTGTTGTGTAGTTGTGTTGTGTCAGTGTGTAGTCGTGTTGTGTCAGTGTGTAGTCGTGTTGTGTCAGTGTGTAGTCGTGTTGAGTCAGTGTGTAGTCGTGTTGAGTCAGTGTGTAGTCGTGTTGCGTCAGTGTGTAGTCGTGTTGTGTCAGTGTGTAGTCGTGTTGTGTCAGTGTGTAGTTGTGTCAGTGTGTATTTGTGTTGAGTCAGTGTGTAGTCGTGTTGCGTCAGTGTGTAGTCATGTTGCGTTAGTGTGTAGTCGTGTTGCGTCAGTGTGTAGTCGTGTTGAGTCAGTGTGTAGTCGTGTTGAGTCAGTGTGTAGTCGTGTTGCGTCAGTGTGTAGTCGTGTTGCGTCAGTGTGTAGTCGTGTTGCGTCAGTGTGTAGTCGTGTTGAGTCAGTTCTTACCTTCTGTGGGTTGAGGTGTTCAGGAGGAACCAGGCTGGCAGGAGGGTCTGTGATGTAGGTCTTCTTAGGGACAGGTTGTGGGTAGCCCTGCTGGGTAGGAGCAGGGGGATAGCTAGGTTCTGGCCTCCAGGTGTTCCCTGGTACTCCTCTGTACCCTCCTGCTCCCGAGTAGGCCTGCTCTGGGTACCCTACCAGAAATATACATGTATTTACTGTGCCTTTATTTAACCAGGTAAGTCATTTAGAACATATTCTATTTTACAATAATGACTTGTACATGATACAAACATATTTGCTTTCACAGTATATTTGCTTTCACAGTGTACTTGCTTTCACAGTGTCTTTGCTTTCACAATGTATTTGCTGCCCTGTCTTTGCTTTCTTTGGAGTTTTAATAGTTCCTAACTGCATTTCAAATCTATTGGAAAATAGTAATTTCACATGCCATGGAACATGTTAGAATTGCAAACGGAGTGTGTTAATGTTGGGGTTAATCCACTAATTCAATTCTAATTCAATTTCCCCTCCCTGTCAATTCCATTTGATTAAATTACAATTCCAGGTCAGTCTTTTGAATTCTGAAATACCACAGTGTGCCATCACAGCAGCAAGATGTGTGACCTGTTGCCACAAGAAAAGGGCAACCAGTGAAGAACAAACACCATTGTAAATACAACTCATATTTATGTTTATTTATTTTCCCTTTTGTACTTTAACTATTTGCACATTGTTACAACACTGTATATAGACATAATATGACATTTGAAATGTCTCTTCTTTTTTTTTTACGGTTGTGAGCGTAATGTTTACTGTTAATTTCTGATGGTTTTTGATGGTCCCACGTGGCTCAGTTGGTAGATAATGTCACTTGCAACGCCAGGGTTGTGGGTTCGATTCCCACGGGGGACCAGTACGGGAAAAAGTAAAAAAAAATATCCAGTCGATCTGGATAAGAGTGTCTACTAAAATGTAAATGTAATAGCCATTATATTATTATATAACATTATGGTTTATCTCACTTTTGATTATTATATATTTCACTTGCTTTGGCAATGTAAACATATGTTTCCCATGGCAATAAAGCCCTTTGAATTGAATTCATTAAATTCCTCTCAATTTCAATGTTAGGTAAATTCCAAGAATTCAATTCCCAATTCAATAGTATCCTCAATTGCGGTTGTAAATAAACTGTTCTGCAATTCTACACATTTTTACATTGAGCTGAGAGAAAACCTTGCAGTTTTGAAGATAATTTCCAGCAATTCTACACAGTTTGGCAAGGAGCTGAGAGACAATTTTGTAGTTTAAAAACAAATTTCCTGCAATTCTACACAGTTTGGCAAGGCTAATGCTGTGCTCCTCTGCTCAAACATTATAACAAAATCAATGGGCATGTGCCCGGAATGCCCGGTTTTTTAAATTTTAGATTCTCCCTCCCTGACTGTCGATATTATATTTTATTGTTAGATCTCAAAGATGGTATTATTTAAAAAAAAATATATATATATATATATATATATATATATATATATATATATATATATATATATATATATATAGTTCAATATCTTGGGCTTTCTATCTGGTTTTGGTAATTTATGTTGACACTGAAACTGTTTTTGCATCCCGAAAATTACCACTTAGTCGGCCCGTTTTAAGAATTTCCTATACAGAAAAAACCCTGTAATTAGCTCCAATGGCTAGCATGCTAACTGTTCCTGTAGACTTCCGGTAATTGCGCTAATGCTAGTTAGCATTGGCTCGTGAAACTACCTCTAACTTCGTTCATACTGGACGCAGAGACATAAAAATGGTATCCACAATGATATTCTGTTGCAGCTCGCGATATTCCCCCAAAAAATATTTTTCAAAAATAACTAAATATAAAAACATTTGCGGACCCCCTGCAGTACCTCGGGGCCACGGACCCAAGTTTGAAAACCCCCTGGATCATGCCACTGTTCAGACAGCCTATCTATACTGGAAATATAAAACTACAAGATGAAATGATTAAAAACAAATCCATTAACTGGGAAATCTACAAATATTGAAATTCCAATTCAATTCCAATTCAAACAGTCTAATTCCAATTCCATAACCTTAAGATTGTTGACATTTCGAATTGAATTCAATGTCAATTCTCCACTTCATGAGTGAATTCAAGAATTGAATTGGATATTTCGAATTAAATTGGAATTGACCTCAACCCTGATGTCCGGTAGGGTAGTCACCTTGAGGGGCGAAGCCTGGATGGGGAGGCCCATAGGCGAAGTCAGGGCCCCTGGGCTGGGCCGACATGTACTGGGCCGGGCTCCGGTTGGGCTGCTGGGCAAACTGCTGGGGGGGCCCAGAGGACTGGTGCTGGGGTCCGGGCTGGGCAGACCTCACCTGGGGAGAAGAAGAAGAAGAAGAAGAAGAAGAAGAAGGAGAAGGAGAAGAAGAAGGAGAAGGAGAAGAAGAAGAAGAAGAAGAAGAAGAAGAAGAATAAGAAGAAGAAGCAGAAGAAGCAGAAGAAGAAGAAGAAGATTACTCTTGAGTTTTGCAATTGTTCCTTTATCCCAACCCCTGTGAGACGCACTCAGCTGCAGTGCCCAATAATAAATTCGCAGTAGGATAGGATCAAGGATTTGATAGCAATGACTGTAAGTGATCTCTTTGTGATCTATTGATTATATTTTGTATGGTTGTTATAGCTTTAATGTTGTTTCTTACCCTAAACACATGACACGTTTCCCAATTGGGACAATAAAGAGAGGATTATTGGTGGCTCAAATTATTGGGGGGATAATAAATGCTTGTACCTGTCCCGTGAGGTGGGCGGCTGGGGGGGAGCGTTGGAGGACCTGGTACGAGGTTGAGGGGACGTGGAAGAGTACAGGGAGGTCTGAAGAAGGAGAGGAGTTTATCTGCACGGGGCAGTGTTCCGCCTGGGCACCGGACTGAGTGTGCCTCCTTTACCGTTCAAGACATTGGGATAATACCGTTACCCTATAAAACCACTTTTGGGGCGTCAGATTCCAGATCGGAAAGGGAAGGTTACCGAGCAGAAAAAGAATGAGTTTTAATTCAAATCACCTTTCTTTAATCCGAAGAACACAAGTTGCCCTTTACCTGTTTTCATCCAAACATTAAATTATAGCCAGTTACTAGATAAACCTTTTAAATCCTGTGCTGATGCTAGGGCTGCATCACGAAATGAATTACTGCTACTATGGATGAACAAAGTAATTACCCACCTTTCCTAATCAATCTCCAGTTGAGCTAAACCAGACTCATCCTCCAAAAATTAATCTCATTTAAACCCCTGACAACCGGTTCCATACTTAGTATTCCAGTAAATAAGCCTGCTTAATCCTAGTAATCTAGGTAACTACACGGGCCTGCTTTTATTAATCTTCCAGATACTAACTACCCAGCCTGCTTCCTCCATATTAATCTCCAGGCTAACTACCCAGCCTGCTTCCTCCATATTAATCTCCAGGTTAACTACCCAGCCTGCTTCCTCCATATTACTCTCCAGGCTAACTACCCAGCCTGCTTCCTCCATATTAATCTCCAGGCTAACTACCCAGCCAGCTTCCTCCATATTAATCTCCAGACTAACTACCCAGCCTGTTCCTCCATATTAATCTCCAGGCTAACTACCCAGCCTGCTTCCTCCATATTAATCTCCAGGCTAACTACCCACCTGCTTCCTCCATATAATCTCCAGACTAACTACCCAGCCTGCTTCCTCCATATCAATCTCCAGACACTACCAGCCTGTCTCCCTCCATATTAATCTCCAGCTAACTACCAGCCCTGCTTCTCCATATTAATCTCCAGGCTAACTACCCAGCCTGCTTCCTCCATATTAATCTCCAGGCTAACTACCCAGCCTGCTTCCTCCATATCAATCTCCAGACTAACTACCCAGCCTGCTTCCTCCATATTAATCTCCAGACTAACTACCCAGCCTGCTCCCTCCATATTAATCTCCAGGCTAACTACCCAGCCTGCTTCCTCCATATTAATCTCCAGACCAACTACCCAGCCTGCTTCCTCCATATTAATCTCCAGGCTAACTACCCAGCCTGCTTCCTCCATATTAATCTCCAGACTAATACCCAGCCTGCTTACCTCCATATTAATCTCCAGACTAACTACCCAGCTGCTTCCTCCATATTAATCTCCAGGACTAACTACCCAGCCTGCTTCCTCCATATTAATCTCCAGGGCTAACTACCCAGCCTGCTTCCTCCATATTAATCTCCAGGCTAACTACCCAGCCTGCTTCCTCCATATTAATCTCCAGACTAACTACCCAGCCTGCTTCCTCCATATCAATCTCCAGACTAACTACCCCAGCCTGCTTCCTCCATATAATCTCCAGACTAACTACCCAGCCTGCTTCCTCCATATTAATCTCCAGGCTAACTACCCAGCCTGCTTCCTCCATATTAATCTCCAGGCTAACTACCATCCTGCTTCTCCATATTAATCTCCAGACTAACTACCCAGCATGCTTCCTCCAAGATAATCTCCAGGACTAACTACCCAGCCTGCTTCCTCCATATTAATCTCCAGACTAACTACCCAGCCTGCTTCCTCCATATTAATCTCCAGGCTAACTACCCAGCCTGCCTTCCTCCATATTAATCTCCAGGCTAACTATTCCCAGCCTGCTTCCTCCATATTAATCTCCAGGACTAAACTACCCAGCCTGCCTTCCTCCATATTAATCTCCAGGACTAAACTACCCAGCCTGCTTCCTCCATATTCAATCTCCAGACTAACTACCCACCTGCTGTCCCGCTCCATATTAATCTCCAGGCTAAAACTACCCAGCCTGCTTCCTCCATATAATCTCCAGGAGCGAACTACCCAGCCTGCTTCCTCCATGTTAACTCCAGGCTTAAAACTACCAAGCCTGCTGCCTAATATATCTCCAGAAACTAACGACCCCAGCCTGATTCCTCCATATTAATCTCCAGGCTACCCTTACCCGAGCCTGCTTTCCTCCATATTATCTCAGATAACTACCCAGCCTGCTTCCCATATTAATCTCAGGTTAACTACCCAGCCTGCTTCCTCCATTATTAATCTCCAGACTAAACTACACAGCCGGGCCTTCCTCCATATTAATCTCAGGCTAACTACCCAGCCTGCCTTCTCATATTAATCTCCAGGCTAACTACCCAGCCTGCATTTCCTCCATATTAATCTCCAGACCTAACTACCCAGCCTGCTTTCCTCTATATTAATCTCCAGACTAACTACCCAGACCTTGCCTCCTCCATGTAATCTCCAGGCTAACTACCCAGCCTGCTTCCTCCATATTAATCTCCAGGCTAACTACCCAGCCTGCTTCCTCCATATTAATCTCCAGACTAACTACCCAGCCTGCTTCCTCCTATATTAATCTCCAGGCTAACTACCCCAGCCTGCTTCCTCCATATAATCTCCAGGCTAACTACCCAGCCTGCTTCCTCCATATTAATCTCCAGGCTAACTACCACAGCCTGCTTCCTCCATATTAATCTCCAGGCTAAACTACCCAGCCTGCTTCCTCCATATTAATCTCCAGGCTAACTACCCAGCCTGCTTCCTCCATATTAATCTCCAGGACTAACTACCCCAGCCTGCTTCCTCCATATTAATCTCCAGGCTAAACTACCCAGCCTGCTTCCTCCATATTAATCTCCAGGCTAACTACCCAGCCTGCTTCCTCCATATTAATCTCCAGGCTAACTACCCAGCTGCTTCCTCCATATTAATCTCCAGGACTAACTACCCAGCCTGCTTCCTCCATATTAATCTCCAGACTAACTACCCATTCTGCTTCCTCCATATTAATCTCCAGACTAACTACCCAGCCTGCTTCCTCCATATTAATCTCCAGACTAACTACCCAGCCTGCTTCCTCCATATTAATCTCCAGGCTAACTACCCAGCCTGCTTCCTCCATATTAATCTCCAGGCTAACTACCCAGCCTGCTTCCTCCATATTAATCTCCAGACTAACTACCCAGCCTGCTTCCTCCATATTAATCTCCAGGCTAACTAGGCAGGAGTCCCAAATGGCACCCTAATCCATATATAGTGCACTACTTTTGACCAAAGTAGTGCCGTTTGGGACTCAATCCCTCAACAGCAGAGGCCCTCACTGTCCTGGCCCCATTCCTCCAGCCATAAACTAAGACTAATAAAGCACTCTAGCAGGGAGGGAGGGAGGGAGGGAGGGAGGGAGGGAAGGAAGGAAGGAGGGAGGGAGGGAGGGGATAAATTGTTGGGCGGAAGATGCCAATGACAGTACGTTGGCAGTGCTACAGGACAATTGTGCTGACTCTAGCTGGCTGTGGAGGGGACGGTGCTAAATCCCAGAGATGTGTTGTATTGGTGATCCCTGGGAGGGAAGAGGAAAGAACTGGACTCTCAGTACAGGACACAAGTTCCTCACTGACTCATTGCAGTGCAATATCTCACCATCAGCGTGCCCAATTTCTATGTTTTGGGGTGTCTTTTTCCCACACGAGGGCTGTGACACAAATCTTAGGCTTGTGACACTGGTATGTCGTGGTTCAATGCCTCTCAGTTTAGTGAATTAAAGATGTGTTGTATTGGTGATCCCAGGCCAGGACGGAGGGAAGAGGGATGAGGCCACTATGGGAAGACAACTTCACTCTGACTTCTGATAGGAGTTCCTCACCGTTCTCAATGCAGTACAGAGAATGGATGCGACTCAAATGGCACCCTATTCCCTATATAGTGCACTACTTTAAACCAGGGCCCTGGTCAAAAAAGACGGCGCCTAGGTCAGGAGTTCCTGAGGGGTTCAACACAGCACAGAGAATGTCTCAGCAGAACTGCTTGGTCACAATCTGTTCCATTTTCTATGTTTTTTGGGTGACCTTTTCCCCACACAAGGCCGTTTGATTTGGTTACCAAGACAGGATCATTAAGTTAAAAAAAATTATGAGCGCAGTTGAATTGTAAGATACAATGATTTTCCAGGATGTCTGTTTTACATACTATAACAGTACAGGCCCGGTGTTGTGTAACGCAGTGTCTCCCATGTCCCATCCACACAACTACACTAAAATATGTCATCTACAACCAGCGTTTAGCTTATTGGTGTCAGATTCTCAGACGACCTAAAAAAGATCTGTCATTAACCTTGGCTGATCTTATTAGGTTGGTGCCTCGGGGTGAAAAAGGAATCAATTACTAATGCTACTGCAGTGTTCATGTACTCTTACATGCTTTGTTAAAAACTATACACAATGTTGGTCATGAAAGCGGGTGAAAACATGAGCATGTATTAGCTATGAACCTCAATGGTTTCGATAGCTTTCTATTGTTAATGACCAAAGAGTGATTGAGTGTCAAGGTGAATATATTACAGTCTTTGTTCCTTGCGCATTCCATCTTAAACACAGTGGAGTAATTCTTAAAGAACATTATTGTGCTGATGATGAAGGACAAACTGACTTCACTAGTAATACAACATGGATAATAATAATTATCCCAATGCATCCAGATAAGAGTTCATGGAGTGAGATACATTTTTAACATGTGACTGAGAGTCTCCCAAACCAACTCCAGATAATCTGACGAGCGAAGGCCAAGCAGAGGAGAGGATAGGAGTAAAGAGAGGAGAGGAGAGGAGGAGAGAGGGGAGGAGGAGAAGAGGAGAGAGGGGAGGAGAGAAGAGGAGAGGAGAGAAGAGGAGAGGAGAAGAGAGGAGGAGCGAGGGGAGGAGAGAAGAGAGGGAAGGAAGGAGAGAAGAGAGGAGAAGAGGAGGAGCGAGGGGAGGATAGGAGAGAAGAGGAGAGAAGAGGAGAGGAGAAAAGAGAGAAGACAGGAGAGGAGAGAAGAGGAGAAGAGGAGAAGAGAGGAGGAGATAAGCGAGGAGAGAAGATAGAGGAGAGAGGAGAGGGGAACGGAGGAGGAGGACCCCTAAAGGAACCAACCACGTGAAAATACATCACGCTCTCAAACTGATTTCTGTTTCACTGATTAGTGCTTGTGATGTTTATTTAATAACGCGTCTGTCTGCAGATGTACAGAGACAGAAAAAAGCCCTTCAGGAAGTGAAATTAGTCAATTTAAATGTTTCATGGTTTTTAAATACTCTAGATTATTAATTTATCTTTAAAGGCCTTAGAACCTAACATTGACTTAGCGGAGAACTGGAAAATGCAAATGGGAGACCTCAAAATAATTACATTGTCATGGTGAATGTTCCAGCACTTAGATTAAGAGAACAAATTCAATCGTTTTATTAGGTGATGAAACTGGGAACAGAATACAATCTGTAGGAAAAGAGTTTGTTCTACAGCGGAAATTATTTCCATGTTATCCGAGTGATGTGATACTTGTTAAATTACAGCGAGCGAGGTCACATGTTTTCAATGTGTGTGTGTGTGTGTGTGTGTGTGTGTGTGTGTGTGTGTGTGTGTGTGTGTGTGTGTGTGTGTGTGTGTGTGTGTGTGTGTGAATGAAGCATCAGCCCCTACACTAGAGGACCATTGAATATAAATATGAACTAAACCATAACACCTACAAACAGTGCAGCTGTACTCATGATGCTCAGACACTCACACTAAACTAATCTAACAGAGACACCATATGACTCTAATAACTGTGATATTGGAGTCTAACTAACTAACTAAGACATTACCTCAATCAGAAGTCCGGACTGTCTGTCCAACTTATGAACTAGCAACACAACTATAGTGGTGGTAAATGGGCGGCAGG